TTTGGGGACTCCCCCCCCCCCCCCCCCACTCAAAAGCACACGTCCCGGGAGCCCTGCAGAGAATGAAATACGAGGTGTGTCTCTCCTGCCCCTTTGCCCCGCACTCTCCTGGATGGTCCTCAGCAGGTCCTCGGTTTCCCCAGGGGTGGGGAGACTTGCTTCCTAACCTACCCCTCCCCGCGCAGAGCCCAGGCCCGGGAAGAGCGCGGCCGTGTCGAGTCTCGACTGCCTGTCCAGCATCGTGGAGCGCATCTCCACCGACAGCCCCGCGGCGCCCACGCACCTGCTGGCAGACGCGCCGCCGGAGTCCCCTCCGCGCCCACCAGAGGCCACCGCCCCGAGCGAGGGCGAGCCCGGCGTCCCCACCCCGTCCCCGGACGCCGCCCAGCAGTGTCCGGCGGGCGCGAACCCCAACCCAATCTACCAGGTGCTCTGAAGAGACGTGCCGCCGCGTCGGAGGGTGCCACTGTCCATCCGCCCGAGGGACGGTGACCCTAGGGTCTTTCGCGTCCGCAAGATTGAGCTTAAGTGCCCCTTCATCCCCAACAGCGCTTTAAAAGCAACCCCTCCTAGGCGGGAGAGGCGGAGAACGCAGTGTTTCCGGCCCCCGCCCCCCAAGGTAAGGACGCAGCGGGTTTCCCCCGCAGCACCCTTCCCCAGGCCCGCTGCGAGGTGGGCCAGAGCTGATCCTCCAAGAGCTGGGCCCTTGCTCCCTCCCCCACGGGGGTGAGACCCTCGCAGATCTGAGTCCTGCCCCCAGACACCCAGGTGGTTTCAGGGGCGTCGCCTCTGCTTTCTGGGGGGCCCTGGCGACATCCACGCTTTCCCACCGCCTGCGGGGTGCACTCCCGACCCGAGTGTAACAGGTGTAACGGAAACCCACCCCCACCCGTTCCCGGTTCAGGACCACTTTTTGTAATACTTTTGTAATCTATTCCTGTAAATAAGAGTTGACTTGCCAAAGCAGGAGCCCCTAGGGCTGTATTTATCTCTGAGGCATGGTGTGTGATGCCACAGGGACTTTGTATGTTTCTACGGCAGGCGGGCGAGCCGCGGGCGCTCGCTGAGGTGTTCGAAATAAAGACGCTAATTTATACCGCCCTGGCTCCGGCTTTCCCTGGGCATGGGGGCGGCATTTTGATCCCGGGGGAAAGCCACAACTGGGCCAGCTGTCCCGCAGCGACCCCTGGAGGCGGCAGACGGAGGAGGGAACCTGGTGCCCGGGAAGAAAGACGTGCCAGTCTCCCACCACCATACACCAAGGCAGTGGCACTCACAGAAGGATGCTCGTTAGATGGTCTGAGTTGTTTTAAATAAATAAATTTTTAAAAATAATAAAATAGAAGACCTATGCCTGCCCCCACCCTCCAGAAATTCTGCTTTAATGTCCTTGGTCTTGATAGCCAGGACAAGATACTGGGATTTTTTTTTCCAAAACTCACCAGGTGATGAGACCTGCAGATGGCCTGTTACATCGCTGGACTCCCATGTAGTCTGCAGGGACTAACGGCTTAAAATTCAGGCGGGGCGGCTGTGTGCCAAAAATCCCAAGAGGAGAATGGAGGAGAAGGGATTGCAAGCATGGCCATCCTCCCAGGGGGGTGATTTCTTGCTTTCTGTCTCTCTGTATCACTCTCTGTCTCTCTGGCCAGCGTTCATGCCCTATAGCAAAAAAATCTCTCTAAAAGAAAAAAAGAAACAACTCTCCAGGTGGTTCTAAAGTGTGTGCAAGGTGGAGTCATGCCCCTCTGGACACATGGAGTGATTCCAGGTGGTATCCGGAGGCTCACCAGAAGGTGGTGTCCCAGTGCCACTCAGCATCCTCACGGGTACAGAGGGTATGACGGGGTACTGTGGGCGTTATGAGGGAAAACGCGGTGAGTGAGGAGGGGCGTTGTAAACTGTGAGCCGTATGGCACAGGCTCCGAGCGACAGGTGCAGCTGCATGGGGACAGCACAGAGGCCAGACGGATGCAGATGCCTCTGCTCAGCCAGGAACCCAACTCTTTGAGTGCTGTGGCACTCAGATGAGTGCTGTGGCACTCAGATCCCGTATGACAGGAGCCCCGTGCCTGCAAGGAGAGAGCACGGGCACACCAGCATTATCGCGGGGGGTGGGGGACTAAGTGTCCTAGTCAGGCCATACACCTCCGAGAGCAGAAGAGGAGCTGTTATTTAACCAGCATGTTGGAGAGGCCTTCCTGGAGGAGGTGCCATTTGAGTTCTGTTTTGTAAAACTAGGTGATATACTCACAATGCCCACTGGCCCATGGACACCCACAGGAGAGAGAGCCCACAGGGGAGAGACCACACACGTACTCACACACAGACTGAGCCTCCCGAGGCCCTGGAGGGACAGTCTGGCAGAAGTTCTTCCCCACTCACATACCACCTCCCCACCCCCAACACACACACTTGCTACCAGGCCCTCGGCACCTCCTACGCCCCATCCCGACAGTCCCTTTTCCTGAAAACCCTCCAGGCTCACTTCCAAGGGCTTTATTTGTCACGTGGGGAGCCCACGGGAATATAGGCCAGACGTGGTGCCTGGAAAAAAACAGCCTCCTTACCTATCTGAGGACCTGCTCTCTGCTCGCCCCAGCACAGGGCCCAAGAGGAGGAGCCCAGACCTGTTTTGGTCCCAGAGACCCCTGGTTTAATACCCCCAGAGGTTCTTGCTCCCCTTTGAACCTCCAGAACTCATTCAGGAATTCATGCCCTCCACAGACGCCAGGTCCTTCTCTCGGTGAAGGGAGGCGGGAAGACCTGGGAGGTGGGAGCTTTCAGCAGCTGGCTCCATGGTGATGAATTAGGGGCTGTCCTGGGGGAGCAGGGATGTGGTGTCGGCATGCCCTAGGGGCAAAGGGGAAGTTCTCCTGACCAGTCTGGGGGAGGTACAGATATGCAAGAAACCCTAAGAGGAGTCTTGAAGGAGCCCATGAGGAAAGAGGAGTCAGAGAACAGTGCTCTGTGCTGAAGAAACAGCAAGGGCGAAGACCCAGAGGTGACAGAGTGGAAACTGCCTTCACAGAGCTGAAAACACTCTCGCTCTCAGAGAGGGGCCAGGGGTAAGACTGCGGGGGGGGGTGGGGGGGGGAGATAGAGCCAAGACAGGTCTTATTTGGGCTTCAGTCCTGAGGACAATAGGGAGCCATAGAAGAACCTAAACAGGAGATGGATGCAAATAAATCTGCATTTTAGAAAGGCCAATTCAGGCTGGCAGAACGGAGAGTAGGTGACAAGACTTGAGACAGAAAAACCTGTCAGTAGCCAACGGGGTTGCTCAGAGGGGACACAACTTGTCCTGAACTAGGGCAGTGACTGAGGGAGGAGGCACAGGACTGGAGACAGCAGGCGGTGCCAAATAATGGGTAGGTGTTGAGGGTAGTGGGGAAACGAGGGTACAGTCTCTACACCGTAAAACCCAGCAGGAAAACAGCCATTAGACAGAGAACGAAGGGAAGGAAGGCAGCAGTAGAAATGACAAGGAATGCTTAAGGAAACACCCAGGGTGTTATGAGAGAACGTGACAGGAGTGAGAAAGAAACTGGGGGAAGAGAGGAAGAGGCAGGGTGGGTGCACAGGGAACCAGCCCCAAAATGCAGAGCGCCCAGGGTTGTATAGAGAGTCATCATGCAGTTAGGCAAAGGTGCCCCTGGCCCTGCTGCAGTGGCAAGCTGGCAGACGCTGCTATTTGGTAGGCTGAGGCCACAAGTGAGGCCCAGATTCCCAAGCCACCCTAAAAGCCAGTGCAGTGCCACACACCTGCAGTCCCAGCTACGAGGCAAGCAGAGGTAGGAGGATTGTCCTCCCGGTTACCTGTGAGGCCGGAGGATGGTGCATGGTAAGGCCCTCTTTAAAAAATAAAAAAAAGGAAAAAGTGAAAATATGCCCCTTTCTCCTGGGGACAGTGCCCCACTGCACCAGGGATCATGGTGAGGCAAGCCAAGAGCAGGCTGGATTGCAGCCCCCACGTACCTCCTGGGTCGGACGCATTCGTGCAGCGATCAACCTGCGTAACTGTTCAGGGTGCCTGTGCAAGGAGGTGCTAAGGAAGTGAGCAGAAAGGAGAGGCATAGACGGCTTCAGCCTCTGGTTTGCCTCTGGGTGGGCAGTGCTGCCACCGCAGAGGGAGGGTGCTTGGAAGGAGAAGCAGGTACCGGGACACACTTAGTCCAGGACACTTCTGGCTCCAAGTGGCAGAAACCCTATCCAATCCAGCTTAACTCCCACGGGAGCTGTGTTGGGAGGATGGGGCATCTCACGTATGGAAGGAAAGCTGTAGGTACCAAGCCTCTGTGGGCCTCAGAGCTAGGACTGGAACCCTTCTCGCTCTTCTAGGCACCCCCCTTCTTGTCTCTACTTGGCTTCACTTTCTCCTAGTCTATACTGGTTTCTCCAGCAACTCAGGGGTGACCCTTGATCTCACCATTAAACTCTAGTTAGAAAACTCCCAAGGAAGAGCTCTAATTGGACCAGCTTGGGTGATGAGTCAGGATTTGAACCCAGACAGAGAAACTTCAGAGCCTGGGCCCTTAGCTGTCTTGCTCTTAGTCTCAGCAGAAGTTAGGAGAGAGGAAGTAAGGAAAACCAGGAGAGTGGGCAGCAGGAGGAGATTGGGTCACACCATGGAGGATGAGCTCTGAAGTCCTGGCCTGTCCCTTACACCAAAAGGCAGTTTATGAAAAGAAAGCGATCATTTTCAAACAGAAGCTTTTACATTGTTTGATAACCTAGTCACTGAAGGATAGTGGATTATCTGACCACATTGGGATAAGATTTAGATTTTTTTGCTGATCAGACAAAAATGATTGACATCAACAAAGATAGTATAAAACTCACATTATGCTAATGCAAGTCCTCAATAACATCAACATAATTTTTAATGAAGCTTGTCAATTAAAAGTGATTTATAATTAATCACATAACGAAACTCTAAATGCCTTGAACTCATACAGCCCGCAGATGAAAGAAATACGGTTGAAGTTTTCCCAAAGTTGATACCTACTCTAAACATGTACATGACATTTCCAATAGAGTTGTGGGTCCAAGGTGGCTTCCCTAAATTACTGTGGGTGCTAAACAAGTTTCGATCAACTATATTGAAGGAAAGACCAAGTCATCTCTGTATTCTCCATATAGAAAGTGCTATTACAAAACCACGGTCGCATGAAGAGGCATCGAAGAATGCACAGCATGATGTAGGTGGAAGTATTATTTATTATTATTATTATTATTATTATTATTACTATTAGTCATTAAGATTGAAGGAAGACAGAAAGGATGAGGAGATAAATAAAGACAAAAATGGTGTGGTAGTGATAAAGAACAAGTCAATTCTAGCTCAATATTTTTCTCACTTAAATCACTTGTACACAAATCATTACTATTTTTAAAGTCTGTTTATTTCTTTTTTAAAGAATTATTTATTTTATT